TTATTCTATTTTTCTTGAAGGACTTTCTATATATTTCGATTATGAGGTCTTGAATCAGACAACGAATATTCAATACAAACTGATTGATACGAAAACTATTGCTTTTCAGACACCAGCATGTTTGATGGACCCAAATGGGCAAGATCGAACGGTTTCAATCGTTGCTAAGCAGGATGAAAAGGTCATCGCAAAATTCGATTTTCTCTATCTGACACGTAAGTGTGCCACTCATATTCGAACTAAAATCATTGTTCTTGTCTAGCAAACATCATGCCAACTACGAACATGTGCTGGTGCTGTCCATTACACACACCATCTGATCTCCTCCGTACAACGATGAGTAACAAACGATTCTGTATGGATTTGGACGATTTGTTCGGGGACTTAGAATCTTATGCGAAGTAGCCGCTTAATTCGAGTTATAATATAATTCAAACGACAATCTACTGTAATAAAATATATGTATTATCTGTAGACTTCGTTCCAATATACTGTGCACCCTACAAAAAGGTGTGTTACGAAATATGAAGAAGTTCTCTTATATAGAGAGTTTCGTAGCAAACCTGCTATAGATGAGGTCTAACAATGGTTGCGTAGCAAGGAGTTTCGCAAATGCCTATCTATTAGTTTATTGAACTAAATAAACTATTGCATTCTCTTATCTATCTAATAAACGAATGAATCAAAAGTTTCTGGACAAAATGTTCGCTCATTTTAGGCTTGAGGGCGTGGGTACGGGTGTGGATCTCTGATATATGTGTCGCTCACCCACACCTACTAACTCACACTCATATCCACACTCTCAACAAAACTTTACTAATGATAGATAATTACACCCATATTATTCAAAAATATCTAAAGAAAACAACGAAACAATTTTGTCATCTTTTTTTATTTAAAAAATTCATTTTTAGTTTATTAGTTGAATATTTCAGACATATCAAAAGTATTTGATGATAAAACATTATCTAAATAGGACAATAATTAACTTACTAATAGTTAAATAGAAAATACGTATAGAAAATTTGTACGAACCATGAATCAATTAATTATTCAGATAATCTTCATGTCACACATAAACTTTATTTATATAATTAATTTCATGAAAATAGGATGAATCCATATGAATATTAAAATCTTTGTTAATTTTAATATATACAGTTTGATATCGAGAACAATATATTGAAATTATAGTAACACTCTCATGAATGTCATACATCTCTAAATATTTAATCAAAACAAATTACATGAGTCGCTATAAAATTATTCATAGAAATCATAACGATTCATTCAACTACAATTATCTAACCATAAACACTTGAAAGTTCATTTACAAAGCATTAAAAAAAATTTATAATTTCTTTTATTTCATATAAAATAGTTTCAATCTAAAAAATTGCAAACGAAAAAGAAAACAAAATAAATAACATAAAAAATAAATTATTGAACTAAATATCATATCTTGATGTTTATGAAGATCAAAAATTCCTCCTTTTCTTTTTGTTGTTGAAAAAGTGTATGTGTTTCTTTCTAGCCTTTGTTTTATATGTAATGAAAGACTTTTAATTAATTCTCGATGTTCTTCGTTAGAATCTCGTTCAATTGATGACGATGATGGTAATTTTTCAATAACATTATTTGCAAGTATTTGTCGACATACAAGATCCTGAATATCATTACGAAAATTACGATCAATATAAAATCCAATTGTTTTAATTCTTGATAATTTTTTTTAATTCAATTTTTATTATATCACTTCGATTACTTATTAATGTTAAATATATAGTACAGGCTTCCTGTGGAAGTTCATAAACAGATAATTTTGAACGTACTGATTCCATACATTTATAAAGTACATAAGAACCGATATTTGATTCAAGACAAGAATATATTAAAGAATTGAATTCATTTATTCGTTCATCTGTCAAACTACGAGGGTGGCAAAGAGTTATTTCTAGTTAATTTAAATCTGGATATGTTGATGGAAATTCAGCAACGAATATTATATATAATAAACGTTTATCACGATGTAAATCATTATCATCTCCATTAGAATAGATTGTTACATTTAAAGAAATTGGATTATCATAATTTATAATTAAATCATCCAAATAAATGGATTTAAATATATCTAATTCTTCATTCCTATGTTCTTTAGCAAGAATTTGAAATATATTTATTCGTCATATACATATGTTTCTTTATCCATATCATCATGATTGAAGTTATTTTGAGTGAGCAATGAGAAGAATAGCGCTAGTAGTATTCAATTAAATACATGTATGTTTACAATAAAATAAATCATTTTTTATCCAATCAATATCATTATGATATTGTTTACTAATCTATCCATTATTTTTAATTAGTTAATTCTGATATTATTGTGGTATAAATAAACTTTGTAAACATTGTTAGAATATGTATCAAGTACTCTATCCTATAGTTATGATGATCAATACTGAATAAAATATTTAATTAGAACTTTAAAATAGAGATCTAGAATATTATAATAATATAAAGGTTCGGAATGGGAAAAATCAGATATAAAAATATCTGCTTAAATATTTACTGTCAAGGTTGAATTTTACTTCTGCAATGATGTGTAAAGACTATCCTTACAGCATATGATACTAATTTTTTACTTATATTTACAAAAGTATATAGATCATCTTGTATTACTCATCGAAATATAGAATTACATTGTAATCTTTCCATTCAAAAGACATAGTGTCGATAAGAACATTATTAACTGATCTTCTATCAAAATTTCAGCAATTATTTTAGATTTCTTTCTCATATCAAACAGGTTTTTTTTAAATGTCTAGTCTTTTAACACAAGTTGTTCGACGTCAAACATTAATGATGATACCTCGTCGTCAAGAAAATGCACTATATTACTGATCCACCTGACAATAAAATAACAAAAGCAGTAAGAAAATAAGTCAATTGTATCTTTTACTATTCTTTTCTTCATAATTCTAAGAAAAATGAATTGCATTAGATCTCTTTCTTACTGTCCTCATGTTATATTCAATTTATATTATGTCAAATTTACAAAAATATAATGGTTCAAATTGAACTTTGACAAAGAATAAAAAATCCAAAGCAAAGACAAAACAACCAACCAAAAATACTGAACATAAATTATCATTTATTCATAAAATTCTCTGTATCATAAATCCTTATAGATTATTTCTAAATCTCTATCGTTTTTCTCTGTGCGCATAAACTAAAATGTGGTTTTTAAAGAATTTAATATAATAATTTTTTTTATATTTAGATCATTTGTTCAGATGTTTGCAGGTTTACATGCTGCAACATAAATTAATTTTCTATGAGAAATATTTTTTAAAGATCAATAATTAACTGACAAACTTCCATCATTATGCAATATACTTATTGCTGGTGGTGGAATTATTGGTCAATCTGTTGCATATCATTTAAGTGAATTAAATGTTCAAAATATTGTACTCATCGAAAAAGCAAAGTAATAAAAATATTTTATATTTCATTGAATTTATTTGTATTGAAATAGATTAGCATCGGGTTCAACATGGCAAAGTTCTGGTCAAGTATCTCATTTACAGAAAACACTTGTTGAAACACATTTTACAAAATATTCAAGAGAGTTATACGAACGATTACATAAAGAAGGACATGATATTGGTAATATTTAAAATTTTTGTAAATTTTTCTTTTTTATTATGACTTATATTCGATAGGTTTTATTGAGAAAGGAAGTTTATGGGTAGCTCAAACATCTGATCGTCGTCATACACTTAAACGTCAATATTCCACAACAAAAGCATTAGGAATCGATCGTGAAATATTAACTCATGAACAATTAAGAGAAAAAGTACCAATTACTGATTCACATGAAATTTGGGTATAAAATAAATTTCTAAAAATATATATATTTTATTTAATGACATGTATCTAAATGGTGATCTTTGGTTACCGAATGATTTTATGGGTGATCCCGTACCATTAGCTTTAACATTTGCTCAATTAGCAATAGCTAACGGTATTAACAGAAAATGAGTTTTTTTTTGATAAATTTATTGGTTATTTATTTATAGGAGTTAAAATTATTGAAGATTGTTATGTAGAAGAGATTCTTACAGAAAAGCAACGTACTGGACAATCTGATCGTGTAACTGGTGCTGTAACATCAAAAGTTCATATAGAATGTGATGTGTTTTGATTCTATATGAAAATATTTGACTATTTGTTTAGATTTTAAGTGGGCACGTGAACTTGAATTTCAAACTTCACCAAGTGTACGATTTTCTACTCAAGTATGTGGTAATTTATAAATTGACTTCTACAAATATTCCAACATTTCGTAATCCTGAAGTACGGTTTTATATTCAACTATTAGCTGATCATAGTGTATTAATTGATGGTTTTCTACGTCAATTAAAACCTATTTTTTCAAATGGTGTTCCAGATACATTTCATTTTTCGCTTCTACCCGATAATTGGGATGATTTTCGTAGGTTATCATCATTTTATTCATCATATATGTATACTTCTTTTCTAGATTGGATATTAAGTAATACTATCAAACGATTTCCTATTCTAGCTGAAAGTGAATGTGAAACATTAATTACTGGTGCTGATAGTTTTACACCGGATGGTCGATTAATAATAAATGAATCAGCTGAAGCTAGTTATTTATTCAATGAATAGAAATATTTTGTAAAATAAAGAAATTCTTAGATTGATAATTATTTCGTTGCATCCGGTTCTAATGGACATGGTATAGCACTTGCTGGTGATGTTGGAAAATATATAGCTGAATTAATATATAATGCAAATACAAATTTAAGTACATGGCCTGCTGATATACGACGTTTTATGCGTTTACACACAAATAAACGATTTCTTCAAGATCGTTTACGAGAAATACCAGGTAAAACTATAGATATTTCCTTGTTTTTTATATTAATTTATAATAGGAAAACAATATTCATTGAAATATCCAACTTATGGTAAAATACTTGGTTATGAACGTCTGCTATTTTTAAACCACATGAAGCAGGAAAAAGTATTTTGAAAGTAAAAGAAAATGTTTTTTAGTTTCTTTTTTTTCTAATACAGAAGATTTTTAAGATTAAGTAAACGAGGCACATTTGGTAAAGCACGATGGTTTAATACAGTTAAAAAAGAATATAGTGCATATGACATCATTTACAAAATATGAATTAAAATCAGCAAATCAAAGTGTTGTGGATTTTCTTCAAATGCTTTGTGCACTTAATATTGATAAGCCAATTGTTACTGTTGTTCATACAGGAATGTTAAATGAACAAGGTGGTTATGAAAATGATTGTTTTGCCATACGTCTAGGAGAATATCAGTAGGATGCAATGTTTTTTTTTATATAAATATAAGATTTTTGTCCTCTTATTAGTTTTCTTTTGGTGAGTCCAACGTCACAATCAACTCGCAATATGATATGGCTTAAAACACATGTACCAGAAGATAATTCTATTTTTCTTTCGGATGTAACTTCACTTTATACAGCATTGAATGTAATTGAACCGAAAGTCAAATATTTATTATCTGAATTAAGTGATGAAAATTTTAATGATTTTGCAAGAATGACTTGTCAAGTAAGTCAAATGTTAAGAATGAATCAAGTGATGTGATGATAAAAGAGAAGAATAGTGAATGAGTGATAATTAATGTCGCTGTTGATATGCTTTGTATTTCATTAGAAATAAAATATATTTTATACTTGTTGACGATCATTTTTCTTTTCTAGTATGCTTTATGTGTATACGATATGTTAATGAAATAAGATAAAGATTATGGAATAATCAATGCTGGGTAATATTGATAGTTTTGATAAATTCTTATTTACATATTTATTAATTTAGATACTTTGCTCAACGAACTCTTCGAATTGAATGTATGTACCCATCTTGGGGACATGATATCGATAAGAAAACAACACCATTTCATTTAAATCAAAAATATCATATATTATTTGATGTAAAAATAAAAACTAATTAAGTAAAGTTTGTTATTCTTTATATAAATATAATTTTAAAATTTTCTTATTGGCACAGAAGCTTTATTGTAACAACAACATGGTATACAAAAACTATTTGTTCAATTTCTTCTTGAAGATCATAGTCTTGATTCAGATCCATGGTTATTGAATACTATATAAATGATATAATTATATAATTTTATTGCAGACGTTGGAGTGGTGCACCTATTTATCGTAATGGTGAATTTTGTGGATTTATTACTTCTGCAGCATATGGTTTTACACTTGGAAAACAAGTATAGAATAAGAAAAAATAATATGTAATTTTCATATATATTTTTTTATAGATCTAATAAATTTAGGATTTGTTCATGCAACTTATTCAGAAAAGATCATAGTCAATTACATTCGCGGAGCTACATATAAAATTGATATAGCAATTGTACGATTTAAAGCACGTCCTAATGTATATCAACCAACTGAAATGGGTCCTATAGTTCTACTATATACAAATCAATTTTCTAATAGTTAATGCTTGAAAATTTTTATTTTTTTAATTTGCTAATAAATACATTTCGAGAAAGTCTGTCTTTAGTAAAGATCCTATTGTTGAATAAACATAAATATTTGCGAATTCTGTTTTTAAAATATATAGAATGCAAAATCATTGAGGGTGTCAGCGTGTGAAATGCATTAAGATGTTTGATAAACTACCTACACCTTCTATATTAAATACTTTTTTTTTTGATTTCATTTGTTGTAATATACGATTAAAAAAAAACGCAAACATGTGCGTTTGTCTGTTTATTATGCAGCCACGCATCATTGCCTTTTATTCTACCCAGTATCTCAATAAAATACGTTTCGTATTACATTGAAAATATAATACATCAAGGTGAAATATGCTGACGTCGCATATATTTTTATTTATTGATTTTAAGTAAACCCCCCTATAATAGAAGCCCACCCCATATTAGAAGCCCCTCCTGAGATGAGCAACGTGTTTGACGTATTAGAAGCCCCCCTAAATTTTCCAAAAATTTTTTTAATTTTCATAATTTTTTCGCATTTCCCTGCTAAAGTTGCTAAATTTTCTCGATTTTAAGGTGAAATTTCGACTAACTCCTATCTAACTGTGCTTAAATCTGGAAAAATTGCAAAAAATCTTCTGAAAAACTCATGAAAACCTTGAAAATCTCTAGAAACCTTCCGAATCGATTTCCTTATCATAGTCTATGAAAATTTTTTGGGATTAATAGAAGCCCCCTCCAAAAATTATAAACGGTAGACAAATTAGAAGCCCAGGGGGCTTCTAAAAAGGGGGGGGGGTTATTATATTTTTATCAATGTTAAAAATTAAATTTATATAATAAAGTCTATTTCAAATATTCAATTCACTTTCGTTAAACAAATTACATACAACTATTTCTGATTTTACTCATCAGCTGACCTCACTTACAAAATCAAGTTTTAAGGCCACCCGCCCTCCTCAAATAAATCAAATTTCGACAAAAAAAATGAAAATTGAGATAAATGCATAGGAAGATAGCTTGTCATCTGCTCTTCAGAAATGAGAAAAATTTTTAATCGATATCCCATTTTTTTCAAAAAATTTTCAAGATTTCTGTCACTCCTTATTCGAAAAATAAGCTATTTTCTGAAAAATGAAAAAATGTTTTTCGCTTTTTCTCGGTTTATGGTTTTCTGATGGCGCATCCCAAATTTCTCTGCCTAGACTCATACAGAATATTTATATTTTTTTTTGTTTGAAAGAGCGTGTCAGGATGCAGGGCATGAAGGAAGCCTTTTTTTTAAACTGAGCTTTGTTTTGAATATGTATAGGCACTCAAATAATTGAACACCCACTTTTTGAGGATTTCTAGAGTCTCAGAACTTGTCATATCTTTTTTTCGACTAAAAAGTATGAATTTAAAAAAAAGGATTTCATCATGCCCTGCAGTATGACATGCTCTTTCAAACAAAAAAAAATTAAATGTATAGGATGAGTCTAGACGGTGAAAATTGGGATGCCAAATCAGCTGTTTTGGGCCCTTGTTTGGTGAATATCTCAGATAAACAACGTGATATTGGGTTGAAAATTTTACCATAACTTCTTCATTATAGCCCTAACATACCCTGAAAGTTTCAAACCATTTGAATGCTCCTAAGTTAAAAATCGATTTTTGAGGGGGGGGGGGGTGGCCTTAAGTCCATATAAGCTGATATTATAATACTTAATAAATAGTACAGAATAAAATATTATCACACTTCTTCATAGCTAATATAACTCTAAAAAATGCACCTATTCTTCCATGAAAATATTTTTGTGTATGATACCTTACGTCCTCTATATCTTACAGTCAATATTCAAAAACTCTTTTCAATTAAAAACTTACATCCTCTACTAATTATAGCAATCATTTTCAATTTACCTTAAATTAAAATAGAATCTCATATAATACTGAGAAAAATTAACTTTGGACATAGTCTCATTCATCAAAGTTTTCGTAAAAAAATTATAACATTGAAGCTAGTTATTCAAAAATTATGTATAACTTAACTTCACGGTTAATAAAATAATTAAACTCAGTTCATTCTACTTAAACTTCATCTCTTTTAAGTTCGCAACAGCGAAGCAGCCAAGTGTAGAATTCTCATTGATAAGTGGGAAGTTCCCATTGGTAAGTGAAGAATCCTCATCGATAAGTGGGGAGTTCCCATCGATAAGTGGGAAGTTCCCATCGATAAGTGGGAAGTTCCCATCGATAAGTGGGAAGTTCCCATTGATAAGTGGGAAGTTCCCATTGATAAGTGGGGAATATCCATCGATAAGTGGGAAATTCCCATTGGTAAGTGAAGAATCCCCATCAATAAGTGGGAAATCCCCCGTTGGTAAGTGGGGAAAACCCATCGATGAATGGGGGATTTCCATTAGTAAGTGGGAAACTCTCATCTGTAAGTGGGTAAATTCCCACTCACTGTCTGTGAGATATAAAAGCACGTGTGCATCGATACAGAATCATACCATCTACTAACCCCGTCGTATACATCTATCAGTATATTCTCAAGCGTCGAACCTAAGCAAAGAATAATGGAAAAGATCATATACATGGCTATTTTGATCGTCGGCCTAATGTTAGTGGCAACTAGCTACACGACAGAAGCAGCAACAATTCAAAATGAGGGTGGCAAACATTTGCTTCGCCACTTCATCAACAAACGACAGACTAGTTGTGATACTTGTAATTGTGATTGCTGTAACGATGATGGTGTAGGTGGTCAACAGGGTCCTCCTCAAGGTGGTCAACAAGGTGGTCAGGGTGGTCAACAGGGTCCCCCTCAAGGTGGTCAACAAGGTGGTCAGGGTGGTCAACA